CCCTCCCCCCCGCCGCACACGGACACGCCCCGCCGCGCCACTGCTCTTGAAAAGGGAGAAGTGTTGTCAAGAATTTAATTTTACAGCGCGGCGTTGGCGCATTTCCGCCCTTTGATGCTGACCAAGTTATGTGGGGCTGCGTGGTGGGGCCTCCTGTGCCACGGCGCCATGCAGTGCCCTCCTGCCCCCTTCCCCTGGTCGGAGGTTGGTCGGTCGGTCGGTTTGGCGTGTTTCGTTTCGAGCTATTTATGTATATATATTTTTTCGTTTACTTTCGTTTTGCTGTTTTGTTCGTGCGGACGTTTGCTGCGGACGTTTTGGTGGGGTCTGCTTTTGTTCTCTGTGTGCATGTGAGCGCAGCGCACACGCCGCCCATGGCAGTGTGGTCCGCGCGTCAGAGCGACGACCACGGATACACTGGCATTGCAGCGGGCTTGGCGGTCTCGGTTTTTGAGCGCCGCTGCCACTGAGCGTGCGCTGGGAAACGCAAGTGTGTGAAAGTCGCACACCTATAGATGCGTGAATGGTTATTCGTACACTTAAGGGAGAGGAAAGGTGGGAATTTTTCTTTGAAATTCACACACTTGTGATCTTGTGCCAGGTGGCTGATTCACGCCGCGCACTTTCGTAGTTATCCCAGGTGGCTGATTCACGCCGCGCTCTTCTGTAGGTATACTGTACCGCATGCACGAGTGCGGGCGGGCTTGCCTATCGCCCCTGTCCACGGCGCCTTACGAGCCGAGTAAGTAGGCAACCAGCCCGCACTCCAGCATGCGGTACATCATAACGACAGAAGTGCGCGGCGTGAACCAGCCACCTGGTACATCCACACATTTGGGTTTCCGGTGCGCGTTGTGTGGGCCATGCGCATGGCGGTGTCTCGCAGCACGCTCTGTCTCACTCACCTGTCCAGGGCGATGGCGACCAGGTGCAGGATGCTAGCGGTGCAGCAGAGCACGTCCGAGGAGGTCCACATGTCGCACAGCTCCGGCCCCAGCGTCCACTGCTGGCTCACCTCGTAGACGGCGCCCAGAGGCATGACCAGGCAGGCGACCAGCAGGTCGGCCACCGCCAGCGAGAGGATCAGGTAGTTGGCCACGTTCTGGAGGTGGCGCTCCAGCAGGATCGCGGCGATCACAAACACGTTGCCTGAAAACAATTACAAGCGCCACAGCAGAAAAATTAATTACCAGGTGGAATATTTCACACAGGGTAGGCTAAGGCCTCACGCCCTTCCTAGGATCATCATAATGAACGTGTCAATGTCAAAGTGGACCGAAAGGGCTTTTAGGGCAACGCCGCGCGCGCACCTGGTCTCGCGTGACTCCGCAGTTCAGCACACCTCATCAGCCAAATTCAATTATGGAAGTAGTTTTTGACAGTGATAGAGCAATCTCGGCGGGTAAACCTCCGCGTTTGAAGATTTTCCCCTATAAAGTTGTTGTTTGCTCGTCGTGTTTGCTCGCGGTCGCGCCACTGCCACGCCCCGGCTGGCCCCGCAGCCTCCTCTCTCTGCAATCTCTCTCTGTCCCTCTTTCTCTCCTTTGCTTCCGCCATTCAACTCGGAATTCTCCCGTCTCGTCCCATCCCGTCCGCACTCCGCTGGTTGCAGCAGCAGCAGCGCGGAGATCCACAATAGCGACACTTGAGAAAGTACTACATCATTCACTCCCTCAAGAGCACACATTATGTCACGCGGGACAATTTTCGTCCCGCCGACGCCATTGCGGGTCTGCCGCGGATGCTTTGGTCCATACCCCCCCCCCTCCCCTCACTCGGCCCGCTCTGGGAAATGGGAAAGTAATTCTTTGCTCGACCCTCGTCAGCAGGGCCAGGCCGACGTCGGGCCGCGCGTCAGGCCGCGCCCGGTCCTCCTGTCAGGGGCAACGCTTAGATTTAGGCCTCCTCCGGCGAGGCGTGCCCCCGCCCCCTCTGCGCCCCACACACGGCGCTGCCCCCGGCTACTGGCACACGCACGAATACGCCACCGCCGCCACTCTGCCTTGTCCTGGCCGAGGACATAGCCGAGCCGGGTGTACACGAGCGTGTAATGGTGCAGACCCGCCCCCAGCCCCGCCCCCTTCTGCCCCGAAGTCGCTTCTTCGTTATTTCATTCTCGTCGTGGTGTTACACACGCGCCGGATCTACCCGCCCCCGCCCAGCCCCGCCCCGCCTCTCCGCTCTCTACCATCCCGGTTGGGGTGCCCACCCCACCCTGCACACCCCCGCCCCGCCCCCGTTTGCCCGCCGCCAAATCACCCCGAATCTAAATCCCTCTGCCGGTCCTGGTCCTCTCTTCTGCTTGCTCCGATAAACGCCGGGCTGGGGCCGGGTGGAGGCGCGCGCCCGCCTGGCCCTGGCCGTGCCGAGGGCCGCGGACAAGGACGAGCAGAGAGAGGGGAAAAAAATCCTCGCCCCCAAACGACTTTAACACGACGTTGGCGAGGAGAGTGGGAAGGATGGGGATCTTGCATCACTGACAATCTCTCAATCTCTTCAACGAAAAGTAGTTTCCTAACTCATTTTTAACGAGATGGCAGCTACTACTGGTTGATTTTTATCACAACTGAAACATTTGAGAAATTATTTTGTGTATGACTAAAGTTCACAAATCCTAATGGAATGTGTTCCCCCAAAACGTTTGCGGTGTCCGTGCCACGGGGCTGGCTTGAGCGACGACGCCTCCTCAGCAAGCTGGCGTTTGCCCCGGTATATTTTTTATTTCTCCATCTTTGCCAGCCCCATCTCCCCTTGCACGTGCAGCAGCAGCACGGGGCACATCGGCGCGAAAGTAATCGCCCACCCACCTACCCCCCCTCGTCCCCCGCCGTGGAGAGCGTGAAGACAGCGGTGCGGGGGAGAGCCGCTCGCTTGCTGCCGGGGAAATGGGGGATAGAGAGCCGATAAAGAGACGCTGCCATCTTCGCTTTCGCGCCAAGACTAGCGTTGGCGACGGAGAGCCAGAGTGTGGGCGACTCTCTCTCGCACTGTTCCCGCGCGACAGGGGGAGGGCGCGGGCGGGGCTGTGTGGTAGCAGGAGCAGCTGCGGACGGGGGAGGGGGCGCGGTGTCGGGTGTACAGCATCAGCAGAGCAGCATAGAATAGCAGCTTCTCCCTCGCCCCCCCCCCCCATCATGCTATACGGAATAACATCCGCGGCTGTCAGCAGGTTTCCATATTCCTATTCCGCCAAGGGCAGTAGCAGCAGTGGCGGGGCGGGGCGGGGTGGGATGGCGCGGAGGGGAGAGCCTCTCCCGGCTGCTATCACATCCCTCTGCCCCCGCGCTGGCCCCGCGGGGGGGCCGCCTCCTCGCGGGCCACCAAGCAGCGGGGGGTGGCCTATCCTCTCTGGCGTGCGACGACGCTGCTGCGCGGCGAGCGCGGGGCGAGGGCGGGGGCGCTCTCTTGTCCTGTCCTCGTCGCACAGCCCCGGCAGGCGGGCCGCGCCCCCCACGGCTCGCGGATGTACCGGGGGGCCGAGCGGGCCGAGCGCGCCACCCCATCTTCCACACGAACGGCTTCATTACTGGTATTGCCGACGTGGTACGTGCTGCGCACGGAGGGGCCGGGGGG